GAATTCATTCATTCAACATACTCTAAATGCCATAGGGTAGGCCACAAGGTTGAATTATGCCAATCTAACATTATTCCTAAAGTATCTACAAAGCTTGACGTGTAGTTAGCAACAATAATGACCCCAGTGCTATGTTGCCTTCAAGAGAGAAGGGTTGGAAAGTTGTTAAAGGTGAAAGGAAGTTTGTGTACAAGAAGAAAGATGTGAAACATAGCTCCAATGTTTTTGAAGCTTTAAATGGCATTAACGATGACCAAGTTGTAGCCTAGGTAAAACTATTGCTAAGGAAGTTGTTGTAATTGTTGCACAAGATATTATTGTATTTGATAGTACCTGTGGTGATGGTGAAGATGTGACAAAATCAGTGTTGCCAATTAGTTACGCATTCTCGATTGTTGAATATTTTAATCTTTATCGTAAGATGAATGCTTTGGCTGACACACCACAGATGATCTCTAAACTTGATACACCGGAGATGATCTCCATGGATCTTGAGTCCGATGGGGGTTTGCCAATGATTGACGTTGCTGTGGGTTTACTTCCAATAGTAGCCTCATTTGACGATGTTGTGGGTCTCTTGTGCCTCCAATAGTAGCCCCAAACACTACTGGTCTCTCGTTGCTTCCAACAACAGCTTATAATGGTACTGCTATGAATCTTTCGTTGCTACCAATAGTAGGTTGCAATGACGATGGTGATGGAAGTTTTCTCTCACAGCATTGGTAGTGCCTGATTTTCCTTCTCATAGGAATGTTGATGAGGGTCCATTGTCCTTTACAACAATTCCTATCGATGGTGATGAGGCTGATGGCATTGAGAAAGAGCGCACTTCTAGTCATATGCAAGTACATGTTGTTATTATTGGAATGCATATAGACAAGTTACGTTCTAAAAAGATAGCACATCAGTATCTCTTGGAGAAGGAAAAGTGGCACCCCGTAAGGCACAACGTTTTTCTCAAGATACTCCATTCGCTAACAAATGTACGCTTTCTTCTAGCAAGGCCTCTAATTCCTAGTTTATATATGTCAATGGTAGCATGGATTGTTCACGGCCTCCAAGGGCATCGCAGAGTATCTGATATTGGAGTTCTTAAATATCATGTTGGGCTATTATGTCTTCTAGAGACTAAATTGCCCGTGGATAGGACTAATGTATGGTCCAGGAAATTGGGTTTCTATAATAATGTTGTCGCTAACAATGTAGATGGTAGATCGAGAATTATGTTTCTTTGGAATTCATCCATCTATTCAATCAACATTCTTATTGTTAATGATCAAATGATTACTATTGAGGGCACCTGTTTATGTAATGGTTCGGTTTCGATTATTTCTGGGGTATATGCTTTTAATCTTGTATCTCAGAGGGCTTTACTTTGGGATCATATGAGAAGTATTGGGGATGATAATATATTATCTTGGTTGGTGCTTGGTGACTTTAATACTTTATTGGGTAGTTCAGAACGGATGGGAGGTAGTGGCTACTTACCTCTGGATTCAGGGAATTTTGCACAAGTTATGTCAAACTGTGGATTAACTGATCTTGGTATTGCAAGGGGTTGGTTTTCTTGGTTTAACAATCAGCTTAGTAGGAGATGTATAAGAAGGAGATTGGATCACGCTATGGCAACTGTAGATTGGGTACTGGCTTAGCTAGAGTCCAAAATAGAGTTGCTTCCAAAGGGGAATTTTGACAACTGTCCTTTGCTAGTATTTATGTCAGATTTGGATCTGATTGGGCCAAAACCCTTTAAGTAATTCTTTAGTTGGGAAAAAAACTTTGGATTTTATTGATGTAATTTCAGCGTCTTGGCAAGGCAGAATGGGTGAGGGTACACTTATGTTTCGATTTGTTACAAAGATGAAAAGACTGATAGGGGATTTGCGTGCTTGGAACAAGGAAGTGTTTGGTTATGTGAGTGATTCTATTTTAGTGGTTGGGTAGAAATTATCATCGATACATGATAATCTGTGTAGTAATCCTTCCAATGAAAATTTGATGATTGAGGAGAAGTATACTATGAAATTGCAATAATTGCTAAGACATGAAGATAATATTCAAAGGTAAAAGTCTAGGCATAACTGGTTAAAAGATCGGGATTCTAATACAAGGTTTTTTCAGCTATTTACTGTAATCAGGAGGAGAAGTGATCGCATTATGTTTCTCAAGGATTAGAATGTGATTTCTTTGGTTTTTGAAGCAGATATTGATAATCACATGATATGGTTCTTTGATTATCTCCTTGCCTAGGAAAGTAATGATGATACTCGTATGGTTGAACAATTTTTGCTACCATCTCTGCTAAGCATTCCTCAGCAAGAGAAGTTGATTGAGGATATTACTATGGAGAAGATAAATGATTGTATTTGGGGGATGAAATGCGAGAGTGCTCGTGGCCAGATGGCTTCATGGTGGAATTATATATATGTGGGTGGGAGGTAATTAAGAAGAATATATTTTTGGCTCTTAATAACTTCTTTAAGGAAGGTAATTTTTTTAAGCAAATCAATTCTACCTTTATTTATCTAATTCCTAAAGTAGCTACTTCGACTGTTATGAACGATTTTGGCCCAATTGGTTTATGCAAGGTTTTGTATAAAATCATTAGCAAAATCATCTCTAATCAATTATGGGTAGTGCTCAATGATTTGATTGATTCTAGACAAGTTGTCTTCCTGAAAAGTAGATTGATTACATATAGCATTCTCAGGGCAAATAAATTCATATCTATATGCAATAAAAATTCCAATAGGCCAAAAATATATTTGCAGCTAGATTTGAGTGGTGTTTATGATAGAGTGTCTTGGTCATTTATTATTGCACATATGAATGCTTTGGAATTTCTGGATATTTTTTTTTCTAAGTTCGTCTATGTATATCTTGGCATTTTTTCTCTGTGTTGCGCAATGGATCTTCTGGGTTCTTCTATATATATCTTGTCCTTGTTTCTCTGTGTTTTACAATGAATCCCCCAAAGGTTATTTTAGGCGGAAAATAGGTATTAGATAAGGGGACGTCTTATCTCCTATCTTTTCTTACTAGTGATAGATTTTCTGAGTAGGCAGTTGGATTATACTAATGAGCAGGGGATGATCCCTAGGGATTTTCCTTCGGGTTGTGATTATGGAGTGTCACATCTGTTTTATGCTGATGAAGATGTTATTTTCTGTGATGCTTCTATTATTACTATTGTTGTTATTAAATCAATTTTCTCTATTTTTTAGTGAACTATAGGTTAGAAACTTAATATGGCAAAGAGCAAAGCCTTTTTTTTTGGCATTTCATAGGGTAAGAAGTCATTGATTCTAAGGGAGCTTAGCTTATGTGAGGGATCCCACCCTACTATCTGGGGTTGCCTCTATTCCATGACCATTTGAAGTATAGTCATTGTCACAACTTGGTTGGCAAAGTTACTGGAAAGATAGGATCTTGGCAAGCTTTAACTTTATCCTATGCAGGGCATCTTCATCTATTGAAATCAGTTCCCTGTGCTGCGTCTATTTTTTGGATTCTTATATTTATTCTATCAAAATGAACTTGTAAGATGATTGAATGGTTGCAGAGGAATTTCTTATGGGTAGGCGTGGTTGAGAAAAAGGGAGTGCATCTTGTTACATGGAAAACAATATGTTTACCTCATGCCGAAGGAGGATTAGGCGTCCATGACATAGTGGATTTCAATATTGCAAGGATGATGAAATTAGCCTGGAGAATTTTGGTTGATCCTTCATCACTATTTGCTTAGTTATTTAAGTATCATTATATCGAGAAATCTTCCATATGGGAGACCAAATACAAAAGGTATTTATCTTATGCTTGGAAGGGTATTCGGCTTAGAAATTTACAGTTCAATTGTCTTCAATAGAGGGATCAATTGGCTATCCCGGTGGCGTGGTCATTTCCTAGCTCTAATCCTTACAAGCTTAATATTGATGGGGCCTTCTTGCATAACCCAAGTCACGCAGGCGAGGTTGGTGTTATTAGAAACTGTGATGGTGCCTTTGTTGCAGTATTTTGAAAACCTGATATTCTTGCAAAGAGAGTTGCATCTCATTTACAAACCACGGTTTCGCGTTCACGTCGGTCGGACTATATTTCCCTTGCTTTAACTTCATGATTTGTCACATGTGCCATATTCCAAGGTTTTAAGCAACTGAGCTGTAACATACTTTATTTCTAAAGTATTAATAAAAAACGGGTAGGAGCCTTCTCCTCTACTGACTTACCCAAAATACAAAAAAACCTTATGCAAACCACACCCTTATCCAAAATACCCCAGCCAAGTACTTGAAGTGTTGGAGAGTATAGATTTATGCTTTTTTTTAAGAAGTTAGTTGAACCCTTGAAGTAAAGACCAGCTTTTCCATTATAGTGTTGAGACGGTACTCCTAGTGTTGGACATATCTTTAGCAACCTTTTTGGCAAAAGTTAGCTTTCTTTTCAATCCGGCACTTGAAGTGACGCCTGACTTAAAATAAAAACTACAAAAATGAAGAAGCAAAGGAACAATAAAAGAGAGGGTGGGGGTTTATATCCCCTTAACCCCACCTTACACCTCTCTCTTTTTCTCTCTCTAAAATCCCCTTAACCCCACCTTACACCTCTCTCTCTCACTCTCTCTCTTCTCATTTCGATTTTTTTTTTTAGTTTTAGTCTTGGTCCAACACTAGAATGTGGGATTGAGAAGAAGGCAAGACTGACTTCTAGCAAAAAAATTGCCATAGGTCGGTCAGGCACTTCAAGTGTCAGGAGAAGATGGTCTGCAACTTATAAGTGTTGGATCAAGTTCTCGAAGGAAATTTTACAAATGCAAGTACTAACTCGACCAAGGATAATTTGGGAGAAAATAAATCCAAGGTAAATTACTGAAAATGTGGTTCATTTTAAATTTTGCCAAACTGACTTTTTATTTTAATTACCCAAATAGGAAGAAGAGCCTATTTCCAGCATGTACTAGATAAATGGGGGAGATGAAGGGAGCTGCTACTGCTACTGTATAACTGAAGCAAACCAAACGATGCCTTTATTATTCATGAATGGGTGGGGAGAGCCATGGATTAATTCAAATGAAAATCATACATCAAAATGCGTAAGAAGATAACATGCCTGAGACCCTCGGGTCCACAAGATAAAACAAAACATCTCCAAATAAAGAAATACAACTAAATTTTATTTTTGAGGAAAAAGTTGACTAAAATTGAACAACTATTATTCATTATAATCGAACTGGTCATGAGAATAGAGAAGAGGTGCTAAGGTGAAGTTGGAAGCTTGTTTTGAAGGAAGAAGGAAAGCATGGCAAGGGCTCTAGCCGGCTGATAGCTGGGCACCGTATGGCCGGCGCCTCTTACGGTTACCAAAGCCAACCCTTTGTAACCCTCAACATATCCAGCTACCTGCAATCAAATCAAATGCCTTAATTTTGTTTTGGCTTTCTACAAAGAAGAACATGCTCTAGTTCAACTGCCTTCTTTTTGTGTACTTAGTTGCAATTCTATCGACTCAATAATTATATGAAAATCTGAAGGATTGGACTCTGTTTTCAAAGAGGGAATTCAAAGCAAAACTAATAATAAAGATTTTTCAATTAATGTAAGAAGATCAAAGGGCCTTATATTAATGTGAAAAGCACTGTGCCGTGTTTCGCTTAAGGGGACTTGGGTGAGTAATTCGGCCTTGTCCGATGGGCTGCAAGCTTCCTTGAGCTCGGTGCAGGATATAAATTTTTTAAAAAAAATATAATTTTTTTTTTAAATATTAGATTGTTTTATAATCTTTTTATATATGATTTAGATGAATTTGACAAAGTTTGGTGAATGTTTAGGTTTTAACTTGCTTTTACTATACATTTTACTGTATATTTTTTATTTTTTCAAAAAAATCTTAAATTTATTGGGATATGATATCATGGCACCATGCCATTTTAATATAATGAAACCACACTTCTAAAAAATCATGTCTATGATATTTGTCTGACCCAAAATTTTGTACATACACACTCTTCATCTCAATAATCAATCATAAAAAAAAATAAAATAATAGTTTGCCCTGTAGATATGGTCAAAATGAGTCCCCTTCAACAATTCATCTAGATTGCCCATTTGGTGAATTTCAAATTCTAGGCCTTTATGAATTCAAAATCAATTTTTTCTTTTTTAATGTTGTTAATCTAATGATAATAAAGTTTTCTAAAAATTTTGCGAAGGAAACAGATCTTTCTAAAGCCTAGATCTAAATATCTCAAAAATAGAGGGTCGATGTTAATTGGGCTAGAAAATACTTTCTTGATAGCCTTTTCAATTTTTTTCATATACAACAATTGCATAAAATCACTCCCCAAAGTTTTTTAAGTAAAAAAGAACATGTGGGTCAAGTCCTGAGCTCGCTTCTACCAGGGAGCGAGTCCCGGTACTAGTGAAAAGATTTGCAGAAACATGTTGTCTTCCAATGCTTACCTCTTCGTTGAGATACCAGGAATGCCATGGAGTCACTTTGGTGAGGTTCAAGCTGTTTACAGAGTACCTGCTCGATGTTACCGGCACCCTTCCATCAATATCTCCGCTGCACGCATCAATATGCTGTGTTACTATTCCATATTCATATTTCCTCTTTTTCTCACTCTTTCTCCTTTTCTGATTTGATAAGAAGGTTGGTGATTATCTCCAAGCCACAAGACTAACCCAAGGCTTAGCTATGAATAACATAAATAAATAATGACAGGCAGGGAAAATATGGAAAAAATTGGGATTAGCCCACTAGCGCATATGAATATATGAGCTCAACGGTCTAGATTAAATCTGGGCCGATATGACGATCACGGATATCCAGTAATATTTGCATTTTATTTTATTTTATATGAATTCAAATCACTAAATATTTTAGGTTTCTATTATTCTCATCAAGGTATACCTAATAAAAATATATACATATAAAATTATTCAAAAAAATAAAATGACCAAAATACCCCCCAAAACTTTTTAGGGGTATTTATGTCAATTTATTTCATGTAAAATATTTTTTTGATATTTTTCAAATATTCACCTATTTTTTATAAACACACGCTTAAAATTTCAAGTAATTTGGATTTGTAGAAATAAAATAAAATTCAAACACTACCGGACATCCGTGATCGTCAGATCAGCCTAGATTGAATCGGGGCTGTTGGGTTCATATGTTCATATGAGCTAGTGAGTTAATCCCAGCTTTTTTCTTGAAATATAACACTATAATACATGTAAGTTGAGCATCTCTTATCTTCAGAGAAGAGGATCCTAAAGAGTAGAGGAGCCCATTCGACTCACGAAAGACAACCAACACACTTTGTCAATTGGTATTCAAAAACCCAAAAAATTAAGAGTGATTTATGTCCATACACTAAAATTTTAGATAAAATACAAAACGCTTTGTTCATAGGCGGAAAATATAAAAGAGGTCAGTCAACCCACCTGTTTTGTTTTTGTTTCTTTCCAAATTGTCCTTTGGTCAACCTGAATTTTGATTTATTTTTAGTTTTTTCGTTAGTAGGTCTGTGCCCCATACTAAGGAAAAAACAAAAAAACAAAAATAAAATTTATGGTTGACCAAGGGGTATTTTGAAAAAAATAAAAAAAGGTGGGTTGACCGATCTTCTTCGTAATTTCCACCTATAAGTGAAGCAATTCATATTTTACCAAAAATTTTATGCTCCGTACATGAATCACTCAAAAAAAACAAAAAAGAAAAAAAAAACAAGAAAGAAAAGTTTATGGTAAACACACACATATGATATAATACAATGTAATATGATATAATGTAATACATATAATGTAATGTATAATATAATGTGTATGGTTTCCATAAGGTTGCAACCTTAAGCAGTCCAATTAAGGTGCACTTCCAAATATTATCATAACATATAATTTTGGTGTAAAAATTTCTTAGGATTATCTAAAAATATATTTTCATATCTAATTATAAAATTTCATACTGCAAAAATGGTTAAAATCAAGTAGATCTATAAACATATGAAAATCTTGAAAATGGGCGGTCTAAAAAATGTGTTGCAAGATGCACTATTTCTGGGACTCAAAATCTTTTTTCTTTTTCATATTCATATATCTTGATGTTGAGATGATTAATTAGAGGGTTTTTAACCCTAACGCAACCTTTTCAGATGTATTTTTGAGGTGCATCTTGAATTCTATATTTCAGGTTGTGACCTTATATAAATTTTTTCCTAATACAATATAATTAATATAATATACTAGGATATAATATGATAGTTACATAGGTAAAGAAAGTGGTTTCTATAAGGCCTAGGCCTCAAGAAGAAAGGTAAAGCCTCACCTTAAACCTAGTCCGCAAAACACTTCGAGCATGGGAAAACCCTATGATGTCTCTAAAATTTATTTCTAAGACTGATTATGAAATTTGTAAATCAGTATAATCTCCTGGATATGTGAACTCTAGAAAATGGATGGTCTAGATAATCTACTACAATATGAACTATTTTTAAGATTTTATATCCTAATTTTTTTTGACTACTATAATGGTTAAATCGAGATGATCGATATGAATGTTTTCAACCCCATAACTGAAATTTTTGGTGCTGTAAAAAGCTTACCTGTATATCCACACACTTATTCCGCTATCCAAGAGGCGTCTTATGGTCGGCAACAAAGTTGCGGGGCTGTCATTCCAGTACGCACCCACGATACCGCTGCATTAATCTCATGTTAGATGCCCCTCAACTAAAAAAATCCCTTCCCTTCTTTCATTGGGACAACTCAACACAATACTCAAAACAACAAAGATAATGATAAAGAAAGGAAAAAAAGGGGATGATGATGTCTAATTTTGTACCTGCAAGCGGTCCAGGAGGTGGGCTTGGCATGAAGGGCCGCTTGCACCTCTTTGAGATTCAAGTAGTTTTCAACATATGTACTCGAGCAGGGATCGAAGTAGTCAATCTGTTAAAGAGGGGCCATAATAAGTGAGCATGAATTCAAATAAGTTCGAAGGAAGAGAGAAAAGGGGTCATAGGCACTTACTGAGCCAGTTGGGGGAAGGGTGGTGTTGGCTGTGTGACACAATGGAGCATAGATGTTGTATATGTCTATTTGATCATAAAACACGCTGTTGGCCGCATTCACGGCAGCGTCGCAGTGGTCAGAGTTGGTGGCGTTTGGCGAGAAATCACAATATGTGTGGATGGCCCCGATTGTATCATCCGAAATGAGGGCGTGGGTCCAAAAATAATCATACATTCCCAAGGTATTCGTCTCATCATCAATCCATGCATTTCCAATCTGCACCACCACCATGAGTTGAGCTCGGTGTATAAATGCATTTTATGTCTCTGAGTTATAAGAGCTGAAAGAGCAAAAAGAAGTTTCGAGAAATTTACCGCTATTCCTTTGAATTTGATATTGCTGTTGTTGCTGGTTAGGATAGTGTAGGCAAGCTGAGGTACATAGTGTCCGGCATAGCTCTCACCGGTGATGAAGAAATCTCTGGTCTTGTACTCGGGGAACCTCTCGAGCCAGTTCACCAGAAATGTGTAGGCGTCCCGGGCCGTTCTCTTATCCCCACTCAGTTTATAGTCGGAGGAAGTGTTCGAGTAGGAGAAACCCACTCCTGCTGGTGACTCCAAGAATAGCATATTTGCCACTGTAAATCAGATAAACAGCTCTCCTGCTTAGTTAGATTGATTGATTGTAAGTTGTTACTTCTGCAAGGCCAAATGAAAGATGCTCACCCTGGTTCCATGCATACGGGTTTCTAAAGAGTGTTTTGCCATCACTCATGACCCTAAAAGGCCCCAACTCCTCCATTGCCCCGTACCCAAGTGAAGAGCACCCAGGTCCTGCCATTCATAGACATATCACATCAACGACCAAGATCTCTTCTCCAAGACCTTAATTGTATGTTATGCTACATTTGTTGAAAATGATGCAAAATAATAGGAGTTGTGGGGTTCGTATCTTTCTTATCTCTCTCTTAGTAGGTGTGAGAGCAGTTATCATCATGGGTAGTTATCTCTCTCTTTATGGGTGGGTAGGGGAGTTATCTCATCACGTAGGATTTGTAGGTAGTTATCTAATCAAGTTAGGCTCTGTAGGTAGTTATATAATCAGGTTTGTAAGTCGTGGGTAGTTGCATAACTGCTCTAGATGCCTATATATAAGCATCATGCAATGAGATATGGGCAACTAATGGATGTAACTTGTGTGTAACTTGTGGATAAATATGTGAAGATATATGTAAAAAACCTCGAGTGTTTGTGTTTATCTCTCCAAGAAAAAAAGAGTGTGTACTTTCCCTTTAAAGTAACCAATTCCTCTTTTAAGAATACCGACGTATCTTTCCAAACGATACCACCAGTGGTATCAGCCCTTATCCAAAAATTCTTACATGGTATCAAAGATTTTAAAAAAATTTAGCATGGTATCAGAGCCTAGGTTGTGAAAAACGAGAGATAGGTATTGACGGGGAGAGCCTAGGTTGAGGAAAGGCATTGGAAAGCCCAGGTTGCCAAAAAAAGAGACAATGAGATCACAGGTTGCTAAAGAGATACTTGTTGGTGTGAAAATTTAACACTAGCATGTTGTGGACAATATTCAAGGGAAAGGTGATAGATATTTAAATCTCTTTATTTAATTTCCTGCTTTATTCAATATGACACACCCTAGTAGTCAAAATATTTTTCAACCATTGATTGCAATTTTCAAAGTTGAATTTTATGATTATTGGAAAATTAAAATGAAAACAATGTTTGAGTCTTGATAACAAAAAAAAAAAGGTGATTTTGAAAAATAAAAACAAAAAAATATTTTGATTAAAATGTTAGTTGATTTTCAATGAAAAAAAAAAGACAAAAAAAAAAATCTTAATGTGATGTTCTTGGAAAAAGAGATGGAGATTTAAAAAAAAAAAAGGGGAAAAAAATTTGGAGAGCTCTTGATTTCGCATTTTGGCAAAACTTTTCAAAAAATGAGTTTAAAAAAAAAAAATACTGAAAGGGGGACATGAGTAGTCTCCTCATAGGAAATCCATGCTTATGTAGGTTTATGAAAATAAAAATGATTTTTGGGAAAGAAAAGAAAAACAAGACACTGCAGTCCTGATATGTCATGCCATAGAAAGGCATGATGGGAAATCCAAGCCTAGTGTAGGCATAGAAAAAATGATTTTTAAAAAAAGAAAATAGGACACCGCAGTCTTCGTTGGTCATGCCATGGAAAAGCATGATGATGCCATGAAAAGGCATGAGGGTACATAATGAGAAGGCATCAAAAAAAATTGTGTTTAAAAAAATAGGACATCACAGTCCTAGTTTGTCATGTCATGCCTATATATGGGCATCATGTAATGAGATATGGGCAACTAGTAGATGTAACTTGTATGTAACCTTTGGATGAATATGTGAAACTCTAGAGTGTTTTTGCTTCTCTCCAAGAAAGATAGAGTGTGTACTTCTTCTTTAAAGTAGCCAAAGATTTTTAAAATGCCTCCACGCATCTTTCCAAAAGACACCAACAATGGTATCAGCCCTTATCCAAAAATTCACATGGTATCAGAGCGTCCATAAAATTTCAACAACATTATGGTGAATGAAAAAAATAAAAATAAAAAGTAAGCAGTAACTATGGCTCATTGTTTGTAAAAATGCCCAATCTAACAGCTAACCGCCTGATTAGATCGGAATCGGCAAGTGGTCAGTTCCGGTTTTGGGCAGTTAGGGTGATCAACCGGTATTTTAAAAAAAAAGTTAAAAAAAATGTATATAAATTCTCAAAATTAAGGTATTTGATTTGTAATGCATTTTTAAATATTCTTTACAATATGGTAAAGATTAAAAAGTTGTTTTGATCATTAATACTCACTTTTATATTTTCTCATTTTTTTGACAATTTTAGAAATAGCTATTGGAAAATATAAAATGGGTTAAAATCCATTATTTTTTTATTAATTGTCAACTTCATTTGAATCTGGTTTGTTTTAATCATCATTTATATGATTTTCATATTTTAATAGATTTTTTTTGTATTTTTTTTCAACACTTTTTTGATCGCCCGAGATTTTGCCGGTTAGATGGTTGAATCGATTGGTTTACCGGTTAGGTCGGTTAAACCGCTTCCAGGCCCATGTCCGGTTAACCATTCCGGTTTGATTTTGTAAACACTGATATGGCTAGCTACTGCTTACCTCCATTTAGCCATATTACGAGAGGTTTTGTTGCAGAATCAGCTGGAGACTCGACAAAATAGTAGAAGAGGGCTCTCCCAGCTGTCGGGTCTACGGTTACGTAGCCGCTGTATTGCTCGAAATCGACTCCCTGAGGTTGGCCAGGTAACTTCTCAATCTTATCAATGGCTTTCAAGCCATCTTGGGGAGCAACATACACGGGCGAATAATTCTCTCGTCTGCTGCGGCTCACATAGGGCTCCGAAGTGAACACTTTGCCCCCTCGTTTCTCCTTGATTAGCTTATACAGGAGCTCTCCTTGGCTTTCCTTTCCTTGGCTCACATTGAGAGTAGAAGACAGTACAAAGAGGAGGGAAAGCCAGGGAAAAAGAGAGGCTGCCCTTCTCATTGTGTACGTGTGTTAATGAAGAGAGATTTGAGAGAGGAATATCCAAATAGCTAAGATAAGGCTCCGATAATGATGATGATGACGACGATGATTATGATTGAGAGAGGAATATAAAGTGTGTGTAATGTATATTTTATAGAGCAAGCAGGCAGTAAAGCATAGTGCAAATGAGGGCGATTCTACCCATGCCATTGTTTTGTAGCAAATGTCTTTGTTGCTTCCCTGTTTCTTCATTTTTCTTTTTCTATCATTGGGGTTGTTGGTTTCTCAGCAAAGAGGGTTTTTTTAGTTGATATCAATGCAATAATTCCCTCTCCTTGGCCTGTTTTCTTGTTTGACAACTCATTCTTTGAGATTGACTCCAATCAAATGAATCATAGTTCCCACACACATGTGATGACTTGCTTGTCTCTTTTGATGAGTCCTGTTATAAAATCCACTTCACGAACATTAATATATGGGTGTGGTTTTTATAAGGTTGCAATCTTAAACAATTCAATTAAGGGACCTCCAAATTTTATCATAACATCTAATTTTGGTGAAAGAAATTATTAGGATTATCTGAAAATATATTTTTATACCTAATTATAAAATTATAAAGCTCCAATAATAGTGAAAATCAAGTAGATCTACAAACATATAAAAATCTTGAAATGGACGGTCTAGATAATGTGTTGTAAAATGCACTATTTCTAGGATTCAAAATCTTTTTTGTTTTATCATAGTCATACATCTCTATGTCGAGATGATCAACTAGGGGCTTTTTAACCTTAAAACAATTTTCTTTGATGGATTTTTGAGGTGCATCCGTATTTCTACATTTTAAGGATGCAGCCTTTTATAAACTTTTTCCTACCCAGTCACATTTTGTAAAAAATAATTATTTTGTATATTCCTTCAAAGCATTCCGTATTTTCTAGGAGAGTAACATATCATTATGAAATTCCCTCAAAAAGAAAAGACTGAAGTCATGATTGGTCATAAAACTAAAACTCGGTTGTATAGATTTTTCCCCCAAGAATATAATGTTGTACATGCTTTATTTTGTTTTGATATTAGTTGATTGATGTGCGACTGTATTATCTATAACATTAAGTTTATTACTAGATTTATGGCAGCCCATCCTTGTGGTAATTTCAATTCCCTATGATTTTTGGCGTTTTCTGTTTCTGTCTTCTGTAAATTCAAGAAAAATAGAAAAGTAAGAAAAAAAAAACTAAGGACTTTCTTTCTCTTATCACTTTAGATTTTTTTTTATTTGTTGTTAGCTATATCTGCATAATTTATTATTTTTATTTTATCTACTTAAAAAAAATATCTTTATCTTTCTGTGATAAGAAAATAAAAATAAATGATAATAAAAAAGTGAAAAAGGTAGATCTAGATTTTCTCCTCTCTATTACCATCGATGAGACCCGAGTCCCTCCAAACTCACTTGACCCATGTGGTAACTAGACCTAGGTCGATCTACCCAAGGTAGGAGCCAGGCCCAACAGGTTTAGGGCCCCTCAAAAACCCATTCTAGAGGCTCCAACACTCAGAACTCAAGCCATCATGGCTCATCCAACGAGGCATGCACCCCGAGTTTCCTATGACCAATCTAGAACCTAGTCCTAAGTTTTATGAGTCTTTCTCAAGCGAGCATCTTAGGAGCTTACCCTCAGTTAGAGCCTTCTTGAGGAGTGCTGGCCAGCTTGAGGCACACAACACACATCGAGTCCCAAGCCACCGCTCAGATCAAGATTAGGGGACCTCTTTGCCCCTGACCAACACATTTACGTTAGTTCTACCCCGTCAGCAAGCCGGAACAGCCAAATCTCTAATCTCAAACCTTCCATAGAGTGGGCACGACCACGAGACCATCTGTCTCATAATCCTCAACCCAAGTCTGACCCTCCTAAGGTCACACACAAACACCCACTAGTGCGGTTTTACCAAGCTACCTTGGTCCCTTACCATCACTTGCATTTGGCTTGTTCAGCCCCTGCACCAACCCATTATCCCCCTAGTAAGTCGTACCACTCTGCTCCACCACTCCCACTTGCACCACCCGCCTCTAGTTATCCTTATCCGGGGCATCCTGCACACCAAACCCCATTAGTCATCGCCGGTCCCAGCTCATCAACCCCTAGCTCATCAACCCCCAACTCCACTAGTTCAGGTTGCCCCTCAAGCCTACCAATATTACCCTTCAGCTCAGGCACCTGTGCCTGTGCCAACTCCCTATCCAACTCCAACCATCTTGATCAAAGCCTTGTCCCCCGTATCACCTCCTAACCCAGCTTTAGCCACTTCACAGGCTTAGCCTGCCCTTGCTTCTAGTCTTGTTCAGCCCACATCTGCAGTCTCTCCTACACCTCAAACTATGCCTTCAATTTCAGGCAACCAGCAGATCACTGAGGCTAAGAGCCCCAAGTCAGCAGAGCTCACCCAATTGAAAGGAAAATTATCAACATTCAAGGAAACTTTAATTATGATTAGAGTCCCTTATATACTCCCACCAAGTTCATATGCTAAATCTGTTATTATGGATGTTGAACCCCTTCCCCTAGGTTTCGTATTGCCCAAATTTGAAAATAAAAGTTCAATGGGAAAGGTGACCCCGAAAACCATGTCATCGCCTATTTGTTGACTATCCCTTCCATTGAAGGGAAACCGCGTTGTCTCATAGCCATGTTTCAGTACACTCTCTCAGGACAACCCTTAACTTGGTTCCGAGAGGTAGTAACTAAATACCCAGACCAAACCCTGATGAATTGTTTCCACGTATTGTCTTACAATGTCGCAAGATGAAATAATAACCAATGACCGACAGTGAGTTGGTTTCAACAAAGAAAAATGCAGGCAAGTCATTCCCCAACTTTGCTAACTGATTCAGGGAGGCCACATCAAAAGTTATTGATTGTGCACTTCTTGAATTCTGGCAAATGAGCATGTGCCTAGAGAATCCTCTACCAAAGTACATGAACCTCTTTAACCACGTGTTATGATCTTTCTCCTTTCAACAAATGATTGACCAAGTCACTTTATATGAAAGGTTAAAGGTCGTTACTACCAGTGCGAAACTTGAAATCCCTACATAGGTCGCACCATCTCAAGTAAAACCTAAAGGCAACAATAACAACAAGAAAATAAATAATATTGCTGCCCAGGTAGGCTAACTTGTCGTAGCACCAGCAGCACCTCAAGCACAAAATAAAACTAATAAGCCTAGGGGTACTGGTAGAAATAACAACAATTTTACGAATAATCCAAATATCGAAGGAAAGAGGCCCTTTCTGGAAGTTAAGCTTCTCTCATTAAAAGAACCCCTCTCCACTACCCTGACTAAAACCCTACAAGCATGACTTATTGTTCTCCCATACCTAGTCCAACCCAAGTATGAGGCTACCATCAAAACCATACCGATAGCATTGATGAGTGCTATAATTTAAAACACCTTATCAATGAACTCCTAGGTAAAGGCACCATCAACCATGCCCCCACCAATACACCGATAGAGCCATCTAACCAAAATATGGCATATTCGTCAATCTATTATAGGATAATGGCAAGGGACCTGAAGAAGAGACCCCTAAGGAGGTTCTCCCTAGAAAAGTCATCATTTTTATAGGACTTTTTTATGTACTTGTATTTCTGAATTGCATAAGCAGAGAACTAGTAACAACTTGGTCCTGTCGGTACCGAAGACACTGCTAGACCATGAAAACACTGCAAAATATGCTTAAGATTGGGCAACCTTGGAAAAAGTGCTAGAACATCTTTGAAAGATATGAAAATGGTAGTTTTGGGATGCCCTAACACTCACAAGTTTTTGTCACATTTCGATACGTTTTGATATGATCAGGACGGAATTCGGTTCTTAAGACTAGTTCAGATCATGCAAAAAAGAGACCTTATAACTACATCCCTATGCTAGAGGCTTCAAAACAATACCAAAAGACCTCCATTGTACTCAGGATGTCAAAATATCCCCAAGGACCAAATTTAATCTCAATCGGACCTCTCAGGAACATCGTGCGCTTAAATTACCACAAAAGGGTAGGTTGTACACTATTGCGTTGTGGCCTCACCAAACCAATTTCCAATCTTGGGACTATATTTTTACAACTCAAGATGATCTTCAAGCATCCACAGGTCACTTGTTTAGAATCGAAACAAGCTCAAATTCGGACACAAGCTAGGTCTCGACGACTTGATCATTTTGACATATGGCACGCATCGTGACGTGAACCAGAACCAAATATTTTCTAGAGAGAAGATGAGCCCAAAACCATGAAAATCAAATCTTTGAAATAAATACATCATGAGCTTCATGAATTGATAACTCGAGATCCGTGCATTAGATCATCGCAAAATCGGGCCTGATGTGACAGTGTCACGAACAGCTACAAACTGGTGCAACTTTTGCACTCAGTTGAAGGTCGGATAGTGCAAATTCAAAGGTTGAAGTTGGCAATGTTTTTCCGGTCACTGAAATCCCTTTTTCTGGTGACCTCCCGAATTCAGAAATACTTTAAGCAAAACCCAAATCGGACAAAACTTGGTTCACAGCAATTGTGACGGTCTCCTCTTTAATTTGTTATCAAAATGAAGACTCAGAGCACTATGAATCGCATTGCATTGATGGCCAAATATCACAATTTAGTCGGATTTTACCCTACGGGAAAATTTTGTCTCAAGATGATCAAATGACATCAAAATGCTCAGAATCAAGCAACATCAAGTCTACGATGATGGATCATCCTTATCACTACCACAAGTACTCGAAAAAGCTTTCAAAATCTGGCAATGATGAGAGGCCCCTTAGAGAGGGATGGTTTCGTCATTAGGAAAAAATGTTTAAGGGGCATTTTGATCATTATTCCTAAATTCAATATTTTATTGTAATTTATTCTAATTATAATTAGGCTTAGTTTTGAGCATCCACCCATGTTTGGTGGAACCTCTATATAAACAAGCCTAGATCAATTGTAAAAGGGTTGGATTGTTCGTTAATGAAACTGATGCATTAGCTTGAATCTACTTATGAATCTTGGATCCAGTGGAGAGGAGAAAGA